CAGAGCCGCATGCCAGAGAGAAGAGAGACAGAGCAGAGGGGGAGAAGCGGCGGCAAGGTGTCGCCGCTTTGTCACGACTGTTGTTTCGTGTCTTACCGTCACCTGAATGCTGACCGTATCAACCTTGTCGTGCCCGCCCATTCGGCTTACGGGGAGGGGGGGGGCGCTGGACGCCAATCCCGTAACTGTTCGGCGGCAACTCGTCCCCCGGACCTCCCCCACGCCCGGAGAACTACCCGGGGCACGCGCGCTACGGCCTGTGAATCTTGCATTGCTATCCGAACGCAAGTCGTGGCGATACTATGGCATTTGGCATCGTTCGCCCCGGCCGCCGCCGCCGCGCCGCCGCCGCCGCCGCCCGCCCCGCCCAGAGATTTCCTTCCGTGACGCCCGCTTACCGCCCTGCAGTTCTTCTCGGATCATCCTTGAAATTTTGCACATGAAGATGCCGTTATCGTAAAGCCCGAAAAGACACCTAGTCCGTTTCTTGGTGTGCGGCCGGCAGTCATCGTTGCCTCTATGGTCAACACCCACTCATTTTTTCGTCGAAACATATTCCTAGAACCTGCCTAACCTTCTGCCACCTTTTTTTTCCTCTTTTTTTTTTTCTTTCTTCTTTTTTTTTTTTTTTTTTTTTTTTTTTCTTCTTCTCCGTTTCTCATGCTTTCACCCGATTGTATAAAAGTTAATGTTTGTATTAAAATTAAAATTTAAATCTAAAAAAAAGAAGGAAAAAAATATTTGCAAAAAATTGAAAAAATATAAAAATATTTGTATAAAAATTTGTATTGTGAAATTTATATTTAAATCTTTATGATTGTCATCAAATATATATATACTATACCTATACATTATATATATATATTATGGCATCATGTTATATCGGCCCTGTGTGCCCAAATTCGTCATGAAAATCGGGTGTAAAAACAGCCAGCAAGTTAACACGCCTTCTACAATAATTTCCAGCAAAATGTGTTACCATGGCAACGATGACTCCCCTTCCCACCAACCAAAAAACAATTGGCGTCGCTTTTGCTTTACCACTAACGCCACTTCATGCCAACATTTGAAGCATGATCGAGATGATCAACGCCATGCCTTAAGATTGCCGCAGAGAGATGCCTCAGGTCAACGGTCGGAACCGTTGCCGCTCCCAGAAAGCCCGCCGAGTAAGTCCAGGAAGCGACTGCGTATGCCAAGGCACGGATTTAACGCATCGTAGATCAACAATATTGCGCCCGAGTTTACCTGCGCACATCCGGGCTCTGCGGAGATGCCGTAACTAATGGCGCAGAACATAGGCGCTGCCAACTGTTCGAATGCGAGTGTATGGAGCGCCACCTCACCTTATTTGTACTATATATCATATATACCCATATTCACCATTGCGCCCACAGATGCGGCTGTCTGACCCCTGACCCCGCCGCCGTGCCAAGCGAACACTGTAAACCCAGACGGCAAACGCGGATTGGTCATGGTACGCATTGATCCAGAAGCGTTACTACAAGTTGTGGGAATTATTCGCATTATTATCATTGAATTCATTAGTATACTCTATAATTATTAAGGTCTTTACGATTAAAAGGTCTGTCATTATTGCAACCCCTAATGCCTATCAACGCCCAGATTGTTCAAATTCCACGTATAGTTACAAAACGCCACTCCCTCATTTTGCCCTGCGTACTCTTATTTGTATCCCTCGTATAGTCTACCAGTATTTAGTAGTATTTTATGACATGGAAACTGAAGCCTGTATGTGTTTTATTGCAGAAAATTGCTGGAGTACAGCAAACACGCAGAAATTGATTTGGCCATTACTGTTAACCGGAGCCGCGCCGCTAAATTTCACGTATCTCCTCGAAAACCGCCATAAGGAATTTAACCCATTTGTACCTCATTACCGGCCAGCGGTTTCGAACGGTGGGCGAAGACGATAAGCATATGACTCACTTAGCCTATCAATGTTCCGCTCACACAACGTTTAATAAAAGCAACATCTTCAACGACACACTCTTCACCCTTTGCGCTTCGCCAGAGTCGCCGATTGCGGCGGGAAAATTTTTCTGCCGATCACCCGCGCTACCTGGCCCTAGCCATCTCTACCTGCGCGTCCTTACGGACAAATTATTAACGACCAAAAACTCATCGTAACGGAAAGAGTCGCGGCGGTTAGGGGGGGGGGGTACTGTTCTACAGTTGCAAAATATTCCGTGCCAAGAGCGTAACCAGATTCCAATATTACTTGCACATACTGCAGGCCCAGAACCCACTGTTGCGTCATACCATAGACCTTTGTCTTTTGTGACTTTTATTTAACTTTACCTGCTCTGCTTTACGGTACCTTACAGCACGAATAAAATATCCATTGCATTACTAGAGTCATCGCGGGGATACATGATAGTTGGCGCCAGACAACTGGCCCGTTATATATAGTTAGGATGTAGCGGCCGTGCATTTGTTAAGCCGACTGGGAGACAGCCGAGCGGCCCCCCTCCTAATCTAACTGCAGCGCAAGCTGTCAGCCAGTGCCGATCGGGATAGAAAAGTTGCTCTGCAGGCCTCGTGTCTACGTTACCCGGCCTAAAGAACACTAAATTTTCTCCACTTCGTTACACGCCTAGGCTGTTCGTTACTGGCTCTGGCCTAATGAGAATTTTTTTCTTGCAAAGAAAAATAATGACGGTACCATTAAAGAGCGTGCGGAGGGGCGAGGCGCCCGAGGGGAACATGGAGGCCGCGGAGCGGGAAAAGCCAGAGGGGGCAGGCAGGCGGGAGGAGGAGGAGGTACCCGGCAGGGGTCATTAATTAACAGGCGAGCCATTAGCGGATGCTGCTGACACACCGGTCGGGGTTGGCAGCGCATGCGATTTTATAGACCAATTATCGAGTCACTGGATCGTTACCTGTTTACCGGAGGATCTTTGCTCAGGTAATATCTTTTGCGATGAAATGATTAAGATGCTATAGGCTGCCTCTGCAGGGTCTCGTAATAAGCAATTAGACCATTACCCTGCGAAGCCTCGTGATACATTGTGTGCATACTAACAAGCACGGGTCACCGACCACTCTACTATAACAGCCTGTAGTCTGCGTATACATGCATGTCCGTATACATGTGTATACACTTCGGAATCCTATGATCCTATACACAAATACATCGTTAGATCAAAAATTGGATCAAATATTTACATGACATATTAGATGGGATGAGATAATGGGATTAGTACGATTCAAACGTTACTAGCAAACCAGACGTACGCATAAACAATTTGATTTGTGTTCGTTGAACAGGAAAATCACGACTGGTGGCTCCGATTTATGGATACTTCGCAGACCATTTTGTCTATCGTCAGTACACAGACAGGTTGTGTACATGGTACACAGATCTGTAAGTGGTAGGATTATCAAACCATTTTTTTCTATCGTAAATGCACAGGCACGCAGTAGGTACACAGCGATATATTTATGTGGTAAGATAAGAAATTTCTATAGTAAAGGGCACAGGCTGCTGCCTCGAAAAATAGAAGTCGAGCTGTGACGTCATACTGCGCGGAAGGTTGCACGGGCATAATGACCGAGCTACAAGGCGACCACCTTGACTGCATTACTTCACCGCACTACTTCATCAAGATTGACGTTTCTGTCGGAAACGTTCTGACACTCAGTTGGCATCAATCCTGGCGCCCCGTCACAAAAGAAATTCGCGGAGGAAATGATGATGCAAATTTCGAAAGCGATGGGGAATGATTATTCATGGCCGCGTGTCACGAGATTTTTGCGCCGTTGCACATGGCTGGGAGAAGGATAGGGCTGGGAGAAGGATAGGGCTGGGAGGAGGATAGGGCTGGGAGGAGGATAGGGTTGGGAGAAGGATAGGGCTGGGAGTTAAGGCCGCACCAATTTAATGTAGCTTTCTACAGACAGTGCAGTCGCAATCAGTCGAGCGTTAGTTATGAAGCCTTTTATATCAGGTGGAGACATGACTTATCAATCTGCAATAATGACCAGTAAGTACCACACTTAGAAGAACTTTAGAGGGCTTACACTCATCCTCAACTTTGTCTATATGAGCCGACCTGTGTGTGTGTGCGTGCGTGCGTGTGTGTTTGTGTGCGTGTAATAGTGTGTGCGCGCACGCGTGTGTGTTTGTGCGCGCGTGTGTGTGCGTGCGTGCGCGCGTGCGTGCGTATGTGTGTGTGTGTGTGTGTGTGTGCGTGTGCGTATGTGTGTGTGCGTGCGTGCATGTATGTTTGTGACTAGTGGCCCTTGTACCCTTGACCCTTGTGACAGAGACTAGACACCGTCTACACATGTGTGCAATTCGCGGGGCTTGTCGTAGTATCGCCCAAGCAGTAGGCCATGCCATTAATCAACCTCTTCATGGCCATTGTGTGCCGGTGACAAACATTCTTTCGACGACTCGTGAATACGTTACATGTATCATTGCTGAAGCTTGCATAGCAATCTTTGGGTTCCCGTGCGCCATTCACAGATATTGTGTGCATACATGATCGCCCGGCCGCCATTTATCGTGCAGCCAATATCGACCATAATGGACATTGCATATTCATCGGCATTGTATGCCACCAAAAGCCATCTATTTGCCTTCGTATTCTGAAAGGAACTACTACAGTTTTTATCTACAGATAACGCGCGCGCCGCCGCCGTGATAGATTGAGAAGAATTCCGAGGCAAAATCGTACTGCCTCTGGCGACAAAGCTATCGTGAGGCGGGGGGAAAAGCTGCGTGGAAATACCCATACGGTGGCGCCACCATGCATCACGTCGCGCTCTGTTGCCGACTCTGCCGGTCGTCTCTCATCCCCGCCGATCTGTTGCCACGACGACGAGGTCGCGCCGGGGTCGCGCCGTCCGTCCGTCCGTAGAAACGCTACATCGCTTCAGCGCGGCGCCTTCCATTGCATCGCGAAGAGCACCAAGTGCTGCCTCCAGGGGGCGCCGCGTGCCGCCTCCAGAGGGCGCCGCCCGCACCGCCGCCGCTACAGCTTCACCTTCACCGGATGCTGCGCGGCCGCTGCCGCCGCCGCGACGTCGCCGAACCGCGTCGCTCGCGGCAACACTCCCGGCCGTTGCAGCCTCCCCGTCGCCGTCGCCGACGATGACGACTGCTCGTGCGTCAGCTCGGCGACCTTGGTGCGCACGATGCTGAGGTGCGCGCGCACGTAGTCCTCGCGCGGGGCGAGCGCCAGCACGCCGGCGAGGCAGCGCTCGGCCTCGCGCAGCGAGCCGCGCTCGACGTAGACGACGCACAGGTTGTGCCGCGCCTGCACGTGGTCCTTGTCCGTCTCCAGCACCTTCTCGAAGCACTGCAACGACGCCGCGGAGAGAGAGAGAGAGAGAGTTAGGACTGTTGAATCGTCGTGTAGGTACAGAGAGACGGAGAGAGAGAGAGATGCTGAGTTAGGATTGTTGAATCGTTGTGTAGGCACAGAGAGGAGTTACAGATGAAGTTTGACTGTTGAATCGTCGTGTAGGCACAGAGAGGAGGAGTTACAGATGAAGTTAGACTGTTGAATCGCCGTGTAGGCACAGAGATGAGGAGTTACAGTGCCGCGTCCAGCAGTGAGCAGATGAATCTATAACGACAAGCGATAGAATGACGCGTAATTGCTC